GCCGCCTCGTCGGCCCACTTGACGGACGTCCTTCCAGTCCAAGGCTTCCATGTGCTCTGCATCCGCAAGACGCCGCACGATACGTACGCTCTATGGGGTGCATTATGGCCTCACACATCTACACAGCATGCAAGGTCTCGCGTACAAGGAAGGTCTTGCGACCGCGGCGCCGCTGCCGTTCGAGACCGCGCTGGACATGGGCGCGCTCCGCGCCGAGCTCGAGTCGGTGCTAAAGATGTCAGTTCCGTCCAGCGACATTGAAAAAAAGTACAAGCAGCGCTGGGCCTTCTTCTCGCCGACGGGCGACCGCCTCTGGCAGCTCAGCCAGCTCCACGCCGCGTCGCTCGTCTATGTGTTTGAAGGCGGGCAGTTCATCTGGCCGGGTATCCACATTGGCCACAAGCGCACCATTCCAAACCTCCACGGGCTCGGCGACGTGGTCCTCGAGACGCTCGCGATGACGCCGCTCGTGTTTTCAGTCGAAGAGTTTCTGCGCGACGATGAAATCGACGTGATCCTCGACCTCTCCAAGGAGCACTTGGCGCCGTCGGGTACGTTGAATCGAGGCAGAATGCTCTTGGTTTTATGGCTACGAAAATGCGATAAACGCTTCATACTCAAAAATGGTAGGTGTGACGCTGCAAGACGGCGATGCTGGCAAGCCCGCGACCGAGTGGCGCACAAGCACGACGTATTTTCTGCCGTCGCACCGCCACGCACTCGTCATGGGCATCGACCAGCGCGTCCAAGACCTTATCAAAGTGCCGGTATCGCACCAAGAAGATGTTCAAGTGCTGCGCTATGAGGAGAGCCAAAAGTACGATCACCACACCGACTATTTCCCAGTCGAGAGCTACCAGAATTCGCCGGACGTGGTCGAAAGCATCCACCACGGCTTCAAGAACCGCATGATCACGGTCTTTTGGTACATGTCGGACGTCGCGGACGGCGGCCACACGATCTTCCCGCGCGCCGGCGGCCTCCCGCTACCCGACTCCATGAAGGACTGCACAAAGGGCCTCAAAGTCGCGCCAAAGAAGCGCAAAGTCATCGTCTTTTACAGGTACTTGTATCTATCTAATCCAGAAATGCGGCTCAAGGGTTGGCTAGCATGCTCCCGAACGGCGTCAACGATCCCATGAGCCTCCACGGCGGGTGCCCCGTCCTTGACGGTATCAAATATTCGGGCAACAAGTGGGTCTGGAACAAGCCACGCTACTAATTTGGAAAGCGAGAAATATTAATACAGACACTGTATCAACTTGATCGATAATCATCTGAGCATGAGTCTCGTACTTACCCTACCCACCGTTTATCCTGGTAGGAACGTTTACGTGGTGTACTAGCATCCCAGGGGATTAATTCGTACATTCTGGCCAACCCATTGGCTATATATCAAGCCATTTTGACCAATGAAACGCAGTTTCATTGGTCTGAGCCAATCATATCGCGCCAAATGCGTCCTGTTAAGTGCGAATTAGGAATTCCCGTTAAGTGCTGTCACATCGCCAGACGTTATACTTGAAAAAAGTTAACAAATTCGATAAAGTACGACGGCGTACTTGACGGAAATTCACGCAACTTTCCGATTAGGTGCGAATGTGAAAGCGCTCTAAGACTGCAGCAAGCGACGACGGCGCGTTGGCCCGGGAAAAGTCTGCGCACCGCAGCGCAGCGAATGTCGCGTGTTGACTTCTGTCTAGGCCAACGCGCCGTCGTCACAAATACCGGTAAACAACGCTTCGCATTCAATAGTTCCTACCAGCTCACCCGGCACGGGACCTGTTTCAGAGGGCTAGGGTAGGGGTCGGGTTCCTGTGCGCCCGCGACTCCATCGAGACAGCCATGCCCCATGGCCAGTGTAGTTTACACTATTATAGCGTTCTCTCGAGCTGCGACGCTTCCAACAACATGTGTACAATATTGTCCTCGGGACCCGTCGCCAAGAAAGAGAGAAAAACAGAAATGGAGTTTGTACAAACGAGACAACACACGCGCAACACTTAGCAGCTCGGGCGCGGCGTCACAACGGGTGTCGGGGACGACGTCGAGTTCTTGCCGTTGTAGATCGTGCACTCCTTGGCGTACGTCTGGAGACCGGCGTAGAGCTCTTTGCCGCGGGCGCGGATCGTCGACGCGGGTACGACAAAGTCGTCGCCAATCATCTCGACCGTCAGCGTCGGCTTGTCCAAGTTGCGGAGGCCCCAGTCGCGCGTGCCGTGGTAGACCATGTAGCCGAGGATCTCGTAGCTGCGGCCGACCTCGTAGTCGCCGCCCATGGCCGTGCCGAGGGCCGTTCCCGACGCTTCGAGGAGGCGCGCGTCCGTGTCCCCCGGGAGTGCGTTCTTCGTGTCGCCGACCGGGATCAAAATGGCGCCAGCGTTCGAGTGCAAGTCGATCAAGCCCGCGAGCTCGCCCTTCTTGCTGAGCAGCCACGAGCCAATCGTCTTGGTCTCTGGCTCGCTCCACGGGTACGGGCCCGGGTACGTCTCGTCGGCGGGCTTGGGCGGGTTCGGGTCGTCGTACGGGCCAGGCCAGTTGCGGTTGAGGTCGACGCCGTTGGCGTTCTTGCGCTGGTAGCGGTTGCCGTTCCAGCTCATTTGGTACCCGTCGAGGTTGACGATCGGGACCGTGTAAAAGGCGTACGTTTCGAGGAGCGAGCCTGCGACTTTGCCATTGTTGATGTCGTCCAGGAGCGCCGAGATCGCATAGAGGTTGGACGACCCGGTGGCCCACTCGCGCGCGTGGATGAGCGACTGGAGGTAGATGGCCTGCGTGGCCGACGGCGACGCCGCCAGCTTGTAGCCAAACAAGGTTTTCTTGTTGTAGCTCTCGCCCACGGGAAACTTGGTAAAGACGCTTGGGTTGAGCTTGACATATGCGTCGAGAAGCTCCGTGATCTGCGCGTCCGTGCGGAAGCAGTTGTGAAAAGCCGACTCGACGTACTTGCCCTTTGTGAGCGACGGGATGTAGTTGGCGTTGGACGTGTGGCACTTGCGGTTGACATCCGCGTCGTCCTGAATGGCCGCGATTTGCTCGGGCGTCCGCTGCTTGTCGTCGGCGGCGGCGGTGACCGTCGAGACGGCGGCGAGAAGCGCAGCGAGGCAGTAGAGCACCTTCATGGACAATTCCAAAGTGTGATGTCAATTGACTGCGTGCGAGAGCATCTGAGACGACGTGGTGCTGAGAACACTCTGAGAACACCAGTTGGGCACGGTTCTGATAACCGTGTGAATGTGCAGCAGCACAGATCTTGTCGTCGAGCATTGTAGCATCGCAGAGCGTTTACAAAGAAGCCTGTCGGCGTGTCCTACTTGTGGATAGACAGAGACCTAATGCCTACGCGCTTTGCCCCATGAAAACTCGCTCGCCATTGTGAACAGTGTTGGTTCAGCGCTGGAGCCTTCGACGAATGCAAACGCCGGTGTAGTGGGCTGTGCAGTGGGTGACTAGGCGAGCTTGGGTGCGGTACCACATAGATGGGCTCTGACTCAGACCGCCGACATATGTTTATCATGCGGGAGCGCGCCAACGTCTGGTTAAAGCTTCTGGTTGTTAAAGCTTCTGGTTGGGCTCGCAAGTGTGAAGTTTACCGCGCAAGATTGCACCACTAGATACAACGTGTTGACTGGTTGGTTGCAATGTAAATCCAACACAGCACACGTGGCCACGAGCTGAGGTCTTGTAAGGCTCCTCAAAGGCGATTGCGTCATCATTGCCCGAGCAGTGCACCAATTCTTCGCAAGCACAGTACAGAATTCGAAACCAATACATTTCAGAGCATGACGCAGACAGTCCACCATCAACTTTGGTCCACCACGGCCTGTACCAACGACGGGCCTGACAAGTACTTTTCATATGTTGTGCCGTGAACTCAGACGACGAGAGTGGCACGACGAGTACGGGCTTACGTCATGGACGAGCCGCAAATCTTCGGATCCCGTTGTCACTGCGGTGTGTCCACAACGACGACGACGACAATCTGAGAACAAGCGATGGCGAGTTTGAGTCGAGCTTTAGTTAACACCCTCTCAAATGCAGCGAGTCGACACGCCCGAGAAACCCCACGTCGTCCAGAACATAGACTTGTACTCGACGTTTGGGCTGCATTCGACTTGATCTTAGTTGAAATGCCCAAGATATATGATAGCTAGCATTGGTAGCCGACGAGCACCTGCGTCTGCTTCTCGGCACGACTTTAGATGTCTAGGCTGGTTTTCTCAACGCAACGACTTCAACCACAGCACGTTGTATTGACCTTCTGATCATACTACCACTCGGTTCACGAATCGCTCCCTGTCCATACATCAGCGCCTTGGCGCGTTGTTGATGGCCGTGATATCATGTCACTTTCGCACGCACTTGGTACACCTGCGCTTCGTACGCGCGCGTCTCGAGCACACTCGCGATGGCCTGCGCCGCATCAAACACATCGACAAACCGCGTGTAGAGCGGCGTGAACCCAAAGCGCACGAGGTCCGGCGCGCGAAAGTCACCGACGACGTTGTGCTCGGCAATGAGCGCCTGGACGATCGCATACGCGTCCTGGCCGCTGCCGCGACAGAAGCGCAAGCTCACTTGGCTGCCCCGGCGCGCGTCCTCGATTGGCGTCACGACCTCAAACGCATCCCCACAGCGCTCGGCGATGCAGTCGATAAAGAGGCGGGTGAGCGCCAGCGACTTTTGCCGAAGGGCTAGCATGCCGCCGAGAGGCGATGCGGCGAGGACGGTATCGACGCCGCACTCGAGCGCCGCGAGGCTGAGCACGGGCGGTGTGCCCGCCACGTAGCGCTGGATGCCGGGCGCCGGCGTGTACGAATTTTCAAACGCGAACGGAGTGTCGTGGCCGAGCCAGCCTTGCAGCGGCTGCGACACGACGTTGACGTGCCGAGGGTGCGCCCACACGAACGAAGGCGCACCGGGGCCGCCGTTGAGGTACTTGTAGCCGCACCCAATGGCAAAGTCCGCGTTGCAACCGAGCAAGTCGACGACGTGGGCGCCCGCCGAGTGCGCGAGGTCCCAGACCATGAGCGCGCCAGCGCCATGGGCCACCGACGTGAATTGGTGCATGTCGAGGAGCTCGCCTGTCCGGTAGCTCACGGGCGTGAGGAGGACAATGGCCGTGTGGGGCCCAATCGCAGTAAGGAGGTCGGACGTGGGTACCAGCTGAAGCTCGAGGTTCCACGTCTTGGCCAAGCCTTCCGCAACGTAGAGATCGCTCGGAAACATGCTCGCATCCGACAAGATCGTCGTCTTGGTCGCATCGGCACGCTGCAACGCAAGCGCGACGCTAAGCACCTTGTAGAGGTTGATCGACGTCGAGTCGGCAACAACCACTTGGCCTGGCGACGCGCCGATGAGCGATCCGATCTTGTCGCCAATGCGATTAGGCAAGTCCATCCAGCCGGCGCTGTTCCAGCTGCGGATGAGGTCCGTGCCCCACTCGTCGGCGATGACCGCCTGGAGGCGACCGGGCGTGGCCGTCGGCAAGACGCCGAGCGAGTTGCCGTCGAGGTAGATCTGATTGGGCGGAAGCAAGAAGAGGTCGCGGAGCGGCGCGAGCTTATCGGACGCGTCGAGCGCGACGCAGTCGCTGCGGGCTATGGTAGTCGTCGCTGCTGTCATGGCGTTTGGAAGGTGCAATCATCCATGCCGATTGGCTCGGCCATCGATTGCAGTCTCTGATTGGCTCAAAAAGTTGCGTCTTTCCAGCTTCAAGCAGATCTGATCGTCGGTGGAACGAACCTGCGGCTTCGCCAGCCCAACGCGGCGCCTTCCTGCAGGCCGACTGTGGGTTGGACGTCTCGCAAAGCACTGCATGGACGTCCGAACAATCTAGTTGAATAGGTTGTTGAATCCTGCTTCACGACGCTGGACGATGTACGTTTCTGCAACAAGGGTCGAGTGGCACTGTATCGGCAACGACAGTCCCGATCTTGCATCACGACATTTCGCGTTCCGTGCTTCTTCACGTTGGCAGGACGGTTTAATCCATCAGTCGTTGTAAGTACGAACGAAAAGCTCACGTCAGAGTGATTCGAGGTGCATTTCAAGTGTATGTAGTACAGATTAAAATCAAACTAAAGTATAAATTAAGGTCCTTTGCTCACGCGCGGGCCGCCGAACGCAGCGAGGGGTGATGCCCGGCATGTGTCGCCTTCTCGAACGAGTACATCATCGCGACGGGCGGCGCGTTGTGGTTGACGCTATGCGCGGTTTTGCCGAGGACCGAGACACCTCGTATCTGCACGAGCGGTGCTTCTAGTGAAAGCGAGTCGCCTTGGACCACGCTCTTGAAAGAGCCCGCAACGCCAATGCCACTCGACTCGACGCGTACACCCCGGGGCAAGACGATGCGCACGCCGCCGAGGATTGCATAGACCTTGACGACTGTTGTCGGATGTACGAATGTTGCGTGCGAGAGGTCAATGGTCTCACCCTGCAGGACGGCGACGACGACCAGCGTTGCCGGCACAAAAAAATGGAGACGTCGTCGGCGTCTTGGCGCCAGTATGGAGGACGTGGATGCTGCGCGCCGAGATGTGGCTCTGCTGGCGCGTGAGCACGGCGTTGCTGTCGCCCATCATGTACCGTGCGTGGGGCTTCGTCATCGTCTTCTGTCGGTTGAATGTCGAGTGTGTCGTGGCAGTCAAAATGCTGAGTGACCGAAAGGTCGCGACACCGGCCTGGTTGAAGTTGCGCCGGTATCATCTGCGACCTGTTGGGACAAAGACCAGAGAGCATTTGGATGCACTCGATATTTGTATGATGCGTTGGGGCAATGTGCCCACATACTGGGATAAACCGGGACAAACCGACATGCGCAGCGAAATCTTCCATCGAGAACGTGCTACTCGAAGACAGGACGTTCCGCACGCAAAACAACGCGTCGCTCATCCGGTCTACTGCTGCTACGACGACGGCAAGCTCTTTTGAACGCCTGTAGCCATTGGACGCTGGCGTGCGAGAAAAGCTGGTCCGACGCCTGGTGCAGCGGCGACCGTGCCGTACTAGTATCTGACACCCATCTCCCGTTCGCGCAACAATCACGTTTACCTGGTTTCACCTCCTATGCAGTAGACAACGTTGTCGCCAATGTGATATAGCACACGTTGTCCAAGCATACTACAGTTACTATAAGAAACAGAGTTCTTGGAGAGAGTCTAGAACTCTAATCCAGACGACGACGACGACGCGCGTGCGAAAGCAGCTTATCATGCGCGAAAGGCTCGAGAACAAAAGGTCCTTCTGCAATGTGCATCGTGGAATCTTTACCGCACCAGCCGGTTCCGCGCCTGATCCGGGTGCGTTGCTTCTTTTCGTTATTAACGTTATCTAACATGTTTGCTTTGATAAAACCTCTATCTATGGATACTTTCATTTGAAATAAACACCTCTACATTTGTATTAAATAGATTGCTTTTGCAAAAAGACACCAAACAATACAATTCCGCAGGTTGTACCGCGCGATCCGCTGGCATGAGCTCGGCGCATCCGTTCTTGGCGGCCTTTGCGGCCCACTGCGACGCGCTCGTCGACGAATGCATGCGGCAGACGAGCGACGCCGACGGCCTCAAGTGCCTCGTGTGCGTACCGCAAAGCCTCTCGCTGCTAACAGCGGCGGTCTCGCTTTCGCAGCTGCAGACGCACTTTCTGCTGCCGGACGCGCAGGTCGGCCAGTACCGCAGCCTCAACGGTGCCATTGGATCGCGTCGCCTTGGCTCATAGCTGGCGACTAGGCAAGCAGATCGCTGTCGTTGGCGCGCACATCCATACCAAAGCCGGCTTTCGCGATACCCGCGTCGTCCGCATCCTCATGACGGAAGAGTGGCCGCACCCCTCGCTACAGGTAAAACTGTCTGCCAGCACACCAAGGTGCGATCTTGCAATGCAGATAAGCCTCGTGCACATCAACCGGCCGCTCGAAGGCGGCGTCGCCGTGCCGGACGAGATGGGCGAGATGGACGCCATGACCTATCGCCGGTACATTGCCATCATGCGCGCATACCCCGAGTCCGAGTCTGTCTTTGCGTCGCTCGACTACTTTGTCCAGCAAGTGCAGCGACTGCCGCCGTCCCGTATTACGCGATCTGCAGTATCATCCATGTATCGACTGGATGGCACGTAGATCCAGCGTTTGGTCCAGAAAGCCTTCTCCGCGTCTGGCAACAGAGCACTGCGCTGCTTTTGGAGAATGGCACGCTCGACCTTGGCCCGCGCACGCACCAGCGCTCGCTGCAGCTGGACCAAGCGGTCGAGTCGTACTTGCTCGAGCAAGTCCATGCGAAGATTTTATCACGACTGGAAGCAAGGTCCTTTCTCGCGCATGCGTCTCTGCACCAATGCTTTTGTGTAGCTGTGCGTCCGACCAAGCCAAGCTCGAAGCCGTGTGGTTCGCTTTACGGTTCGCGACGCCGTCGACGTTCAAGATCCGACGCGAATTTCAGGTGCGACGAGCGGATTGTCGTCGTATGCAATGCATGTGCTCATGGACGAATGTATCGGTAGTGTCAACACACGGAAGCCATCGCACTGCTCCTCGCCGCGTACACGCAGACAACGCCGCTCGGTATGCTACTGCAGCTCAAGCGCGTGCTGCAGTCGGTTCAAGACGCGATCCATGCGCGGCTCATGCGGCACAAGTGGCCGCTCGGTACTCGATCGTCTTTTGTATCAATGTATCAAGATGGCACCAGGCGAGTTTCACTTGAGCACGGACGACGTCTTGGACCAGCTCATTTACATTCTCGTCCGCGCCGGCAACACCTCCAGTCGTCTTCCGTTTGTCGCCATGCTGCAGTACATGGAGCAGTACCACTTTGTGCCGGCGACCGTCTCGGCCATTGGGTGCCTCCATTGTGCGTGAACGATGTGAAATTGATACATTGATACATAGGTTCACAATGGCCAACTTTCAAGTGGCGCTCGAGTGGCTCTTGACAACGACCATGACGACATCCAACGAGACGGCAGAGACGGCGCTCCCAGAGCTGCCAGAGGTGCGCCACGCGATAGCAACGGCCGATGACGCGCCGACCGTGCTGCACGTGACGGGCCGCGTCGATCCGATATGCGTCGAAGGCGCTGTGTACCACGTAGCCGTCGGCCATCGGTGCTTTGCTACCGTTTCAGGTATTTCGCTGTCTCTATACCTCGTCTGCTGCTAACATGGTTAGACTCTGGGGCCGTTGCGACGTGGGGCGATGCATATGGTGGACGGCTCGGGTACCCGCAAGCGATCAACCACGTCGAGCAACCGCAGTGCGTCGTCGGCGTCACCAAAGTGTTGCAGGTTCCAACCCTGTTCGCGACTCGATCCGAGTCGATTTACTGTATGGTGTAGGTGGCGTGCGGCGCGTTTCATATGCTGAGTTGCGACATCAATGGCCACGTCTTTGCCTGGGGTTTCTCTTGCTACCCCCGTCGCCTGTCTTCTCATTATGTTGACATGTCTGCAGGAACCAACACCGTCGGGCAGCTCGGTCTCCCGAGCTCAGCAATGCTTATGAGCATCACGCCGCGTCGCGTTCAAGGTAGTCTCTGGTAAAAGACGCCACGCTGAGCTGCGAAAAAAGGCCTACAGGGCGCCTACATCAGCGCCGTCGCGTGCGGCGACGCGCACTCGCTCGCCATGTCGTCGCAAGGCGCGGTCTTCTCGTGGGGCTGCAATCGTTTCTTCCAGCTCGGGCGCGAAACCACCGTCGCAAACGACGCTGCCTCGGTAGATGCCTCTGCTTGACGGCGTCTCGACAAGTTTGTAGCGTCCAAGCATCGTTGCCAGCACGTGGTCGGCCGAAAACAACGCGGAAGCAAATGCTCTGAGCTCGAGAGTGACGCCACCAAAACTCTTGGACGAGACGGCAGAACCAGGTGCTGCGCTGCGCATCGCGGCGGGCGCCTACCACTCGATGGTCATTGCACGGGTAGCACTGTACTACGTTGGAACGCCTACACTCGTCATGTCCACGCTGCGTAGGATGGCACGCTCTTTGCGTGGGGCTGCGGCAGCGACGGTCGGCTCGGGCTCGGGTCCGAAATGGATGTGTCGTCGCCGTTGCGCGTACGCCTTGCCACTCGACGGACTGCAAACCGTTTCAACCATGGGGCTAGGTGGTGCTACCAGCCGACGCAAAGCCCGTCGACGTGGGCGGTGGCGCGGCGTATACGTGCGTGCTGCTCAAGTCGGGCCATGTCCTCGCGGCGGGCCTTGTGTGTCCCGATGTGCCCAACGTACAGCACTGGCTCACGCCCATGCCAGTGCCAGCGGCCGTGCGAACGATGGCGTGTGGGGCCAACCACATTGTGTGGACGGCGGGCGACGGTAGCGTCTGGGTGCGCGCGTCTTGACGCTTCTCGGTGCGCTTAAACTCCATGGACGTCCTAGGGATGGGGAAGCAACGTCCATGGGCAGTGCGATCTACTGGGCAACGTGACCGGCGCGACGCGACTCGATGAGCCTCGTGTTCTCGCAGCCGCAGACGAGACGGTCATCCTGCTGCAAGTGGCCGCCGGCGCGTCGCACACGGTCGTAGTGACGCAAGCGACGACGACGACGACAGGATGAAATGTAGTGGCCAATCAGTGGGGTTGAACGACGGTGACGCTGAGGTGTTGAGATTTCAGATGCAAACGGATCAAGGTCATTTGTGAACCGCCGTGGAGGTGACCATGAGACGGCGTGGTACTGTCTTTTGGTGTGTAGACCGTAGAAAGGGTGGACTACGCGCATTCGTTGGCAGACATCGAGTGTCTTCCACAGCGAGTTGAACAGAGTGGGAAAAGCCACTGAATACGACGCGCGATCCTTGGTGTTGGTTGGGTTGGTCGGGTTGTGTCGTGAAACATAGGAGTTGTTGCAGCTGGTTCACAAATTGGAAGACCGCAATCGATGCCACGTAGTATTGGTGATGTTGATGCTGCGCGTCTGTGGAATGTACCGTCGCCGGCAACGAGGATGGCCGAGGCAAGCGACCATGCACCAGCACGGTCCAACGATCTCTGTGTTGCGCCACGCCCCGTGGTCGTCCTTTGGATGGTTGACGTATTACTATGTTGCAGGTTGGCTTGCTTTTTCGCTCGGAACGCTGCGGTGGCTGACTAGGATAGATACCTGAAAATGCACCGTCCTCCCTTTTTTTGATGCACTGGCGCTTCAACAGACAGGGCGAGCAACCCACCGTATTCAGCTGCAGAACGCACCGTGGCACGCGAAAATCCGAAATCACGAATATTGTCTTTTCGATCGTTTCCACTGGCCAGGCTTTCCGCGTTCTCTCAACAATCCTACGAGGCCCCGAATTGGCACGTCCAAGGGTTCCGAAGCTTTTTATGGACCCTTGCACATCTCTACAAAGCCAGGATGAGGTTGCGTTGCTTTGCAATGGCACGCGTAGCATATGTCGGGGCATACCTTGCGGAAGCCTAGAGTAGCTGGCAATTCCATGCAGCTTGGGTTGCCATTTCAAGATGGAATGGATTTCATCCTTGGTACTCTCAGTACTGTACTTGGATGTCGACTCGTTCCCGCGCCTCGTTGCCTCGATGCGTCGATGACATGGCCCCGTAATGCGGTCGCGCAACCTAGGTTTGTTTATCAAACATTCGAACTAAAGCGTTCGAGCGTCGTGGCATGCGCGGTCGTTTTGATGACGGAACATATAATGCACCTACGGCATGGACGTAAGCGCTCTCTTGACCGTCCGTCAAGTCTTGCGTAGAGTCCTTGGCCTTAAAAGCTCAGACCTACACGTAGTCGACCATACGTGGGAAACAATGGGTGAAATCCCTCGTTCTTGAACGCATTGCTTCTGGTTGCGGCTTGGGTGTACCGGGTAGGTGCAGAGAGCGGCGTTGCTTGCGCTGCAGCAGACTAGTATTTGTCGTCTGCCCGCACGACACCAGGTATCTGGGATCACAACCATAATTGTTGATAGGTCTTTCGACAGATCGCGAGAAAAAGCTCCTAGCGGTGGCAAGAACCGGGTCGTCCCACCTCTGCCGGTTCTCGGTCTCGGGTCGACTCGTTGGACAAAATCGTGCGGTCGACTCGCTATGGTCGAGTAAAAGTCACCACTTCGCGCGTGTCAATGGTGTACGTTTGGGTGCGACACCGTGTACATACCTCGATACGTGTCAAAATTGTCTTGGGTGGTGACGTCGTCTCGTCGTCCGTGGGTTGCGACGCAGCCGGACGGTACAATGTGCATCCGAACACACAATGGGCAAGATGTACCCTTGATGATAGTAGATATAGGGGTATCCTATCCGCTGCGACGTTCGAGACGCCGTAAAAAAAGCCATCGTCGCATCCCCATGCTCCAATGAGCATCGCCCCCGACGCCGTACGAGCCAAGCCTCGGTCTACCGTAGTCAATTTGTGGTCGCCGTGTCGCTCCCGACTCGTGGGAGCTACGGCATGTGCGAGCTTGGAGGGGCCAGCCCGTGAAAAAAATGTCACGCGTTGTACTATCGAAATGCACGCAAGGTGTACCGTAGTCGTCGGATCGTCATCTCTTGTCATTGCTGCGACAGGCCAGGACGGTCGGATTTGAAACGCCATCGCTTGAAATGTTGTCGTCGTTCTTGTTC